CTTTGGCACTACATGACCTTCCAAACTTCATCTGAAACAAGCATACCAACAGATATATCCATAAACATATATGCATTTTACCCAGTCTTACACATCTGTCAGTTACAAATCTTGTGACAAAGTTAATATACCATTATCATATAGTACAATATATATGTAGAGGGTATACAAATGATATTAAATTTCTTATCAATATGCTTATTCAAGATGATATTTACAAAATAAAAATTTACTGATTAATATTTTTAGATTTTATTTTTACATGAACGATAACAAGGAAGTTACGCTTAGTGCAATGTTAATGTAAATCAATAATTTTTAAAATAAAATTTATTTTATTATTTTTTTGGATTATGTAAAGCTATAGTGACGCACAAACTTTATTTTAAAATATTTTTCATATTATTTTGATAATGAATTACATTTTACATGGTCTACCATAGGCGTAAGAAATATAAAGGAACGTGTTCTTTTTGTTGTGCTGTGACACGACTAGTTGTAAAAGAATGCATTTAATATTAACCACAAAGAGATAAAAAAACTACATGTAATATAAACATTTATTTACAAAAAATAGTTTTTTCTTCAATTGTATAAAATTTTTCTTAATATAAATGTTAACCCCTCGTTAATGTTTTGTTATGCCTAGGCGTCATTCGAAAAAAAAAACATAAATAGCTAAATTCTTATTTGTACGGTGCTTCAATCCAAAAACCGAGTGAAGTAAAGTCACCTAAACTGAGAAAATTTTTAAGTAAGATTTATATAAAGATATCGAGGTTTAATCCAAAAACCGATTGAAATAAACTCACCTAAGCTGAGAAAATTTTTAAGTAAGACTTATATAAAGATATCGAGGTTTAAACTTTCTCACTTGGTCAAAATTACACACACTCTCTAACTCTAATATATATATAATATATAAACTGATAACAACAACCGACACATCGTTAGTGGTTTTCCAACCTTAAACCTCTATATCTGGAGAACTAAGCTATATCGACATATTGCGTAATGAAAAAAGTTGTTAATATATTATATTTACATTGTATTTATTTTTCTGAATGTGCCTAAAAACTATGGTGACTCATATAACAGTTATACTTGCTACTCCATTGCTTGCCCTACCTACCTTTCTCATTGTTGTTGCTACTGATAATGTTTTTGTTGATAATTGTTTATTGCAATATGCGTAAACATATTTATATGCCGATTTATGATTGCATGCGTAAGTAGAGTGAAGGTGTTCACTAATTTTTTTTTTATTTTCAGTAAAAAGAGATTCCAATTTATTTCAAGCCTTATAATGATTATCTGTTGTAGTATTATACGTTTGTAAATTAAAATTCAGAATATTTATAATGAGTCGGTGAACAATTTCATCCACCGAACCCTCATCATCATTTTTTTTTTGCGCTTAGAATCGAGTTCACTAATTAAGAGCTATAATGCTGAATAATATTTATCGTCTGTAGGAAAGCCTGATGTACAAATTTCTTTGTCAAGCTCAATGTTATCAAGAGTAGCATTAGAAGTTATTTTATTTACTTTAAACAATGCTTCATAATTCTGTTCCATCAATTCAGGGTCTTAATCAATGTTATTCAAAAAAACAAAAGGGAATGTCGTCCCATGTAGAAAATTCACCAAATCCAACTTTTTAAAGCAGTGCACTATCGTTTGACACCAATATCTCAAGCTTTTATTTATTACATGATTTATGCGATCCATAAGTGTAATATCCTGCTTTTTATTTGCTTCTATACGCTTTCACTTTTTTGAATTACTCCCTGATCAAGAGATTGCAATTTAGAGGTCATATTCTGCAGAAGCAATGCCAATTCTATGCCAGCGACTGTCATAAGAAAGTAAAAATTAAACATTTGGTTTGGAAAAGGGGATTTCCCTTAAAACCAAAATGGATTCATACTAAAAACAAAAATTCGACTTATAGAATGCACTTTCCCACATTCCTATTGGCACGTGACGATACTTTTATTCGAATTATAGAGAAGTTCGAGTTATAGAAGTTCGAGTTATGGAAGCAGAATTCTACGTACTTTGCTCTCTAAAACCTTGTTGCACTCTTTTCAGTTCCAGTTATAGAAAATTTGAGTTATAGAAAATTCGAGTTATAAAAAATTCGTGTTTTCAAAGTTTGTAGTTTATTATTCTTAAACTTTGTGGTCCCTACTAAAAACAAATATATCATAGCGATACTTGGTAAAAAAAAGGTAGGGAACTACTGATCTCTATGTGATTAAAATTTTTTTATTAATAAAAAAATAAAGTTTATTAATAAAAAAATTTAATATTACACGACAAAAATATTATTTATTATACAAGACAAAATGTAATAGTACAAAAAAAAAATTTATTATTAACGCGGAAAAATAATTCAATAGTGCATAACGAAATAGTTTAATATCACACGAAAACAACATTAAAAATAAGAATTAAGTTTATATTTACAAAAGACATAAACCTTAATTTATATTTTATTCATTCATGTTCATTATTTATTTTATCATTATTATGTTGAGTTAATTATCATTACATGAGACACTTGCATCTGCTCTCGCCGATGTTCCCACCAATAAACTTAATTAAATCAATTGAACGACACGCGCAAAACACAAAAAAAAAATAAAACTAGAACTTGAGTAAATAAAATTAAGAAAACAACATTTAGCAAATTTAATGTAAGAAACTGAAATAATTATCATCATATTTAACATTAATGATAATCATTAAAGGCAGAATATTTTTGTTTTATTTTAATTTATTTTTTTTCTTTTAATATTTTGCGTAATTTATTTACTAAATATTTTATTAGTACCAAATTTTACGTTGTGCACTTGCTCTAGGTCAATTGAAGGTCATTGCAAACGTTTCTTCACTGGCATAACAATAACAGATGACTGTTAATTTAAAAAATACAACAACAAAAATTGTAACTGCTGTTTCACTTCTAAGTTCATTGCACTTGCACATATTCAAATCATGCACACTGCAGCTGCAAAAGTTGAAACATTCTTGAGTATCGCATATGATTTCCGTCGTTAGAAACTTTGGTCATTGGTCATTAAAAAAACACTGCAATTTTTAAAATACTTACTTTTTCCGGAACACTCAACATTGTTAAATTTCAATGATTTATAACTAATAAAATATTTATAAAATAATTGAATTGATAAGAATTATAATTTTTTTTTTTGAACAATAAAATAATGTCAAATGTATCACACGCGGGAGCCAACGATAACCAAATCGCTACAAAATCATAACAAAAGCAAATAAACCGACAAATATCTTCTTGCGTTTCGCAAAACACAACGTATAAGAGTTTCAAACAAAAAAAAAAAGCACAGCAAAAACAACAAAACAAAACTTTTGGCAACAAAAGCCAACAGCAAGTGCTGCCAAGTCTCTTAACATACAATAGTGATAAAGCGAAATGAAGAAAAACATATGATATCTTAAATACACACACAAACATTTGTAAACACGCAGAAACTTCAAAAAAGAGCAACAAAGAAAACGCAGAAGCCTTAAAGTTGTGTATTTTATTGCTAAATCACAAAAATATTAAATTTATTTTTAAATAAATCAAATTACAATGGGCATATGTTCATCATGTTGCGGAGGCAGCTCGGAAGAAGCAAATTTAATGCCTTCGCCGGTAAGAACATATACAACAAGTTTAACAAAAGAATTTGCGTTGTGTTTTTTTGGAAAATTTACTAGCGAAAGTTTATTTTCTTTAGGAAACGAGAAGACAACAACAACTGGAGGCAGCTGAACGTAGACGTTTAGAAAACGAACATAGAGGTATTAAAAATCCTGAAAATGTGCGTAGGCAGCAACAGCGACAAGAAGATCTAGAACGACGTGAACAAGAAGCTGCACGTAGTGGTGGACAACCAACATTAAAGGTTTAAATAATATAATTATAATTTATAATATATTTAATCGTATTTAATTTAGTGGCAAGCAAATTGAACTTAAATGCAGCAGTAGCAGTAATTTATGAACTGGACCTATACATGAAATGGTCAACTACATTCTATCAAACCAAAAGTGTTTATTAAATTTTCTATAAAAACGTATGAAATTAAATTTTATATATGCATACATACTTTATTACTCATATTGTCTTACACTTGTAATAGTATTTCACTAAGAGTTTATACCAAATATTGGATTTTAATATAAATTTGTCATATATATACGGTTATTTTGTTATTGTTTTGATAATACATTTACAAATAAATATTTATATATTTAATAATAATAGCACTTTTGTTAATATTGTTTTTGTTATTTTTTTTTTTTTTGTTTACTGTTTTGTAACAAAAAATGTTAAAAATTTATATAAAATAAAATCATAATTAAAAATTTAATGTATGTGTATATATGCATGCGGTCTTGTTTAAACTGCGATTTAGCTTTTCTGCTTTAGCTTTTCTAAGTAATAGATAAAGCACATATAGATGTAACAGTTTTCTTTTTTTTAACTATGTGTATTATGAGTACGTCATTTATCAGAATAATACCACACTTCCATTGCTTATTTAGTAAGACACTAAGTAACATTGAGCTTTTTGTCGTTTACATTAGCACACGTGACTTAAAAAATGGGAAAGAGTTTTTATGTGTCAAACATTTCTAGTTGTAGAGCTTTTCTTTGTTTATATTTTAAATAATAAGAACTGACATTAAATTTTGTATTGTTAGAAGAAAACATTGTATATTCAAAAAATGTAGAATGTTTGTTAAATTGTTCATAACATGAATGTAGCAGTTGTTGCATATAGAAAAGAACGTGCAATGATTTTCAGTAAGTTTTATTTCAACTAATAATAAAACTAATAACTTATAAATTAAAAATAAAATTCACTATAACCACATTAATCATAAATAAAGAAATGAAAAAAATTAAAAATAAAATGCCCTATAGTTATGGTATATTCAAAAATAGAATTAAAAAATAAAAAAAAATATATTAACTAGTCATTAGTCAATACGTCCATTACGGGTTTTTCGTGCGGATATCCTCTTTCCAACTTCAAAATTGATTAGTCTATTAACTCTCTCTAGCATATTTTCATCAACCTCGTTACTTTTTCTTCTAGGTATTGCTTCCATTATGTTGCCAATGTAAATAACTGCTTACCGCCCTCAGTCCACATATTCCCAATTCTTTTGTTTTTTACTAATATTAATATTTAATTTTATTAAATTACAAAGATTATAAATTCACCATACAAACTTGTGAGCTCTTATTCATTATCTGCCCTGATATCCAACTGAAATGAATATTTTTTGTTAAATAAATAACATTGTATAATGATAGCACAAATATATTTGATATAGAAACTTATTTTAATATATCATTTATATATTTTATTTATAAATAATATAATATTTTAAAAAATTCTTACCTCTTGTTGGATTATGTTTACATTTCACCTGATTTTTTTGTTTATGTTCATATTTTGTCTCTTGTGTCAAATATGTCAAATTTCTATAATTTCCAATGTTGCATTCGTCATTGTTGGTATAATTTCGGTCGAATTTTGTTTACTACATGTTAAGCTTTTTGTATGATTAATGCAATTTACTTAGTGAGTTAAGCTTACTAAGTAAACAGTGGAAACGTACTATTAATGTAATACATATCATTACTATAAATTACCTAAAAAAGATAAATACTCTTAGAAAAATACAAATCATATGTTAAGAACTATCTAAAACTATGCAATCCAAGCTTTAGGGAAACTTTTGGAAAAGAATTATAAATCAATAGAACAAATATTTGAAAGTGAAACATATCGTTATTACTTTTCACACATATGGGAACTCTACCATGTGTATTAATTACGTTTAAAACAGGATTACCTTGCGAAAATTCCAGCAGACAGTTAGGTATATACAGACGAAGACCAATCTTATGTCCTCCAAACACAGCTACATTATAATATGTAATTTATAAAACACTTCAAAACATGGAAAAACACTTACTTGAAAAAATATTAACTCATTTGCTGACAGAAAACATTTTAAAATTAAGCGTGATAAATCGCTAGCATCCAACATATAAAAATATATATATTTTTCCGATAAAATAAAACAACTTTGCTCTAACCTAAACTAATTAATACGATTAGCGTAGACATCAGTTTTAAACTAAAACCTCTGTTTTAGTTATTGTAATAAAACAGCTTATAATGATATGAGCACAATATTACTATATATAAAAATTTGCTTAAAATAATGTTCCTGATGGGTTAAAGTTAGCACGTAGAATACGAATTTGATGGAAAATAAAAGACAAAAAAACAGCTGTGTTGCAACAAGTCCATTTTCTATTTGTTTTGTTTTGAGTTTCGGTTGGCAACGTTATTGCTTTGGAATTTCCTTGTTTATTTTTCCATTTTTTAAAAATTATTTTCATTTAATTATGATTAAATGGTTTCATTTATTTTGTTTTGCACTTGTGTTATTAAGAATTGAAAGTAAATCAATTAAAAGAAAGCTGCCAGCCTATAATGAGAATAAAGAAGTAGAATCGTGGACGGGTATGTACACGCAATAGAATTACTAAAACAGAATTCGTCACACATTTTTTATGAACTATTAAATTTGATAGCAGGTGTCTAATTATATTGATATTCATTTTTTATAGGCAAATGGTTTCCATTTCCACCAAACACACGAACTACAGTAAGTCCCGCAAGAAAAGATGCAGAAAATGATATTATTAGTTCCTCAAACAGTTGTGATGATAAGGTTTGATGCTTTTTCCAAGAAAAGTATTAATAACAATTGTAAACTTAAATATTTTCTTACATATTTATAGACATTAATTGGCCGTGATTTTAATCCAAATGATATACGTCATTCTTACAATTACCTCTGCCTTGCCAATCGTACAATGTTCACACCGAGCTTAAACCGTAAAGCGTTGCTCCATGAGGAATTCATACCACCAGCGTATAGACCTGCAATGAAATGTTTAAATGAAACCATAAGATATGATGATAAAATACCCACTCAGTTAGTTACAAAAAACTACTATTTCCGTTTAAAAATAATTAATCATTTATATTTTTAGTGGCGCTTTTCGTTTATTACCACCCAAATATGGTACTTATCAATTCCTGCCACCACAACGTTGGTTACGCAGTGTTGCAGAAGGTGCTATAGTGATGCTTTATCATCCTTGCGCTTACACAAAACAAGTCGAATTATTGCAGAAAACAGTTTCCAGCTGTATGTATCGACACATTATAACTCCCTCGTTATTACTCAGTCCGGAACGTCCTATGGCATTAATCGCTTGGGGTAAGAGTCTACAGCTGTCTGTAGTGGATGAAAACATGGTTGTTAACTTTATAAAGGAGAATGCCAAAAAGGGACCTATGTCGAATAAAGATTTAAATGAAACTTTCGAATTGTATGAAAGTGGACTTTTAACAGAAGCTCATTTGGTGACCGATGAGTCCGATAATGAAATCTGTGGTTATAAAGAAATGTAAAATATCGAATATATGTTTATGCAAGTGATCTGTTAATTAGTGATTTACTAGAATTCGTACTTCCATTGTTTAACAAAATTTATCTTAAAGAAATCGAATATTTTAAGTTGTATTTACAGAATAACAAATATTTTTTTTTAAATTTATTTTATTAAACTATTGTTTTAATTATATATATATGTATACTTTAATAAAAAAAATTCCAAAGTGTAAAAATGTATTTCGCTGATAAGAGTATATTTAACGTATATATATATATGTCTATATATTATATTTAAACATTTAGTGCTGCATATGAATCATTTTTTTATTCTCATACACACATTTCTCGGAAAGTGCTCCGTTAATTTCTTGTAGGTTTATAAATGTGTTCTTAGGCTTATAAATAAATTCATATGTATAATTATAAGATATATTTAATGTAAAGATAATACTTAATAAATGTGGTATAAACTAGAACAAACATCAACACCAAAGCATGAAAACGTGAGCAAGGAGTGAGCGTAATCTAGTTTAAAATGTTTCAAATATAAAATCAACTTGCATGGAAGGGAATCTTGCAGTAAACCTATCTAAACTTGCTACCCAATTTGGTACTCTTTCTTTTTCAGATATAAGTGCCTTAAGAGTCTCTTTATAATAGGAGTACAACATCGAAAGATGAACTACATAAATGAATGACTGCAACGTCTTGATCGAAATTAAAATAGGATTTACATTTCTCAACGCATGGTTGTAAAACGACTTCTAAAACAGGTCATAAATAGATTCTTCGCTGTTATATAGCTGGTGAGATATATTTAAATTGTTAGTCTCATACATTCATAAGACAAATACATATAGAAATGCATGAAGTGAATGAGGAATCTACTATTGTTGTTGTAGCTAGAGGAGATCTAAATTACAGAAAACAAAAAGAATTGCAACGTAAGAAACGTGGGTTGGAATAAAAAAAGAAGAGAGATTATTTGGAATGCTTGAGTTGAAATATAGAAGAAGAGGGGTTGTTTGGAATGTTTGGGTTAGGATAGGGAAGAAAGGGGTTTTTTGGAATGCTTAAGTTGGGATAGAGAAGCCCCCTCTTTTCTATCACAATATTTGTTTGGAATGCTCGACTTGAGATAGAGAAGAAGAGATGTTTTTTGAAATGCTTGAGTTGGGATAGAGAAGAAATGTTTTTTGGAATAAAGAATGAATATGAGATAAGAAAGATTTAGTTAAAACCTGGATCGAGCTGAAGAAACTTTGTCATTTCAATGGATTGATGCTTAAGATCTATAGGACTGAAATTGGGTGTGCATTGAGACATCAAAGTATATGAGCGACATCATTGAATTGTATTGAATTGTTGGGAACACTTTGAGAATTGATGGTAGAATCTACTTATAGTATATATGAACATTCACGACCGTGCGGTTTCGCAAATCTAGCGCATTTGTGGTGAAAAATACACACCTCTAAGTTTGGATTAACGCAGCCCCGCAACTATTCTTGTCCAATACGCAATGTGATATAATACATTAAGACCGAAAAGTTTTCGGAAATTCTCATTTAAAATTCGCGCGCTGTATATTTTTCGATATTTTAAGTTTATGTAGTTTGGCAGCAATTAAGGACAATTACTATGCCAAAAATGAGCGCGATCTGTCAGACAGTTCGTTTACGGCAGCTGTTGAAACCAGTTCACCTCAGTAGTGCGTTGCGAAAAAAACAATGGAAAAAAATATTGAACAAAGAGTTTGCATCAAATTTTGTGTTTCGAACGAAATTTCGTGTGCAGAATCGTTGCGAATGCTACAAAAGGCTTATGGGGAATCAGTTTTATCGAAAACTCAAGTTTATGAGTGGTACAAAGCCTTTCAGGACGGTCGTACGACCGTCGAAGACATTTCGCAACGCACTACTGAGGTGAACTGGTTTCAACAGCTGCCGTAAACGAACTGTCTGACAGATCGCGCTCATTTTTGGCATAGTAATTAAGGACAGGGCTGCCAAACTACATAAACTTAAAATATCGAAAAATATACAGCGCGCGAATTTTAAATGAGAATTTCCGAAAACTTTTCAGTCTTAATGTATTTCTAATCCAAGCGACTTATGGTACCGCGTTTGTGTTGCGGATGGTTGTGAGTACCGGTACTTAAAATTCTATATATAAACTTTAATCTGTATGTTATAGACGAAGAATTTGTTAAGTTATTTTTTTTAAAAGTAACACCTTACTCTTAACATAATGATGGTAAGATGATAAAGGGTTAAAAACTGCACAGTGTGAAACAAAGGTACATGCAACTTCCATATAGTACCAAGAAGTCGTCTACGAACTTAATGTACCAATATCTGTTATGCTCTACTTCATGTGTCAATATTTGACTAGGAGAAGATCTGAAATCTTCAATCGTCGTACCGTTACCGACCTGATGGAATTTTTATCCTGAAACATAACGGACTTATCCAAGTTTATAGAATTGTAAGGTTGACATCTTAACCCATTCGCAAATATTTTCAATTATTTATCAGCTTAGCCCTTACCAGTGGGATACTATCAACCGAGAAATATTTTTCAGAAAACAGAGTGTCCGCCTTGGCAAGGTCATCTGCCCTGCAGTTACCCGCGATAATTATCAGAGAACAGAGTGTCTATCTTGGCAAACTCATCTGCCTTGCAGTTAACCGAGATGTTCTTGTGTCCAGGTACCCATTTGAGTTGAATTCTAGCTCGTTAAGAGAACCCAAGCATCTCGAATACTTACTAAGGTTGTAATTATAGCGCTTGTCACAGTGATAGAAACATATGTTGAGAATAAGAAGAGGAGGAGAAGAGAGATGTTAGTGGATAAGTGTGTGGGGTTCCAAAACTAGATCATGTCAAAATAAAGGAACCAGTAAAAATATTAAGAATTTGTGTTAGAAAACAATTGACAGTTGCAGGGGAAGAGGAACAGTTAAACAGTGGATCTTCTTTACGTGAAAAGTTAGGTATTTATCTTCAGTTAATGATATTTTCAATTTTTAAAATATATGTACCTTAAAAAGCTACTTTAGGATTAAATCTAAAAAAACAATTTTTAATACTAAATGTGAAATCGTGAATGTACTTCTTGTGGTCCATGGTGTTTTTAATTCATTGAGTTCTAGAAACATTAACTGGAGTAATTGAAGACACATTCTCATTACAGTTGTGTGATTTCGACATACATATAACCCTGCCAAATTCAGAAATGGTGTAGCAACTACTTCTTCTAAGCATAATGAAATTGAGAAGGAACAAAAAGAGATAATCACTACTTATAACGACAGATATTCAAAACTTATATGGATATACTTTATCATGTAAAGTTATATATGGTTGAGTTGGTAATGGGTAACATAGAACTGTTGATGAGTATATATTCATATTAAAATGATACAAAGCAATAAATTATAAAACAGATGTCGCTTACACATATTTTATATACGTATGTATATATCAAAATAAAAATACATTGTATATATATACTTATAGGAAAAAAAATTACGTTATAATAAATGTACATACAAATATAGCATGCAAACTGGAATTGCTGTTCTTTTGTTAATAAAAAACGTATTAAAAACTAATTCATGAGATGATATCAAAAAAACAATTAATAATAATAAAAACAAATTAAAAAAATTACACACGATATATTTTTGAATAAATAAGTCAATCAAAAATTTGACATATGTATACATTTTTATATGTATAATTATATATGTTCAAATATATTTGTGTGTATATATGTAAATGTTTGTTTAATATAATTTTAACCGCTTATTATAAAAAAATTTTTCCAAAATAATATCCAAATTTTTAATATATGCGAATTATTTTTGATATGTTTATGATAAATTATACTAATTAAAATAACATGATAATTAAATGATTCACATATATATGTACACATAAATATATGTATATACAAATGTATAACTTAAAATAATTGTTGCTACTCAAGGCATAATTTAATTGATTCGTATTTTGTTTTGTTTAAATTTTCATTTTTAAGTAGCAAAGTTGAAAAATTTTGTATCAAAATTTTTTTAATCAATAGTACTTTTTTCGTTATTCACAACGCAATGACACAATGTTTCTGCAATATTAAAATAATTATATACATAAAATAAGGTTTACAATTTCAAAACTTTATGTATTAATTAATACACTTTTAAAAATGTGTGTATATATATTATACAGTTTGGTATATATTATATTATTTTATTTTAAAAAACTTTTACTAAAATCATTACATAACACGCATTTATTATCTGCCGTTGTATTGCAACAAGGCAACCCTGTCGGCGCCTTGTATGATTTATCTGTTATATATGTAGTTCAGTTTTTGTTTGGAACTTCTCAGTCTGTGTTCGGTGTCGTGTTGTTTCTTCAATTTTTGTGTCCGCCGCAAAAGTTTCCTAAATATTTCTGGAATTATTTAATTTTTTTATTTTACAATAAACGCACCCATTCAATTATTCATTTCAATTAACTTCAGTGCTGCTACACAATTGAGTTGAGCTATTGTTTGTCCGTGTTTGAACTGGTTTTTGTTTTTGGTGTTATTAAATTTTTTTTAATTGACAAACATCAATCGCAGCGGAGAGGCTTACATACTTGCAAATAAAGCAGCAGCAAAGAAGGGCAAGACAATTTTCAATTAAATTGTCATCACGTGAGCATTACGTGAGCGTATTGTGCAGAAAACAAAAAAAAAAAAAACATAAATTTAAGTCTCAAACAAAACATCTTCCAAAAATATTTGTTCATTGTTTTTGTTGTTGTCACGCAGACAATATATATCTTATCACAAAAAAAAAAACAGCAGTAAAAACAACAAAAAAAAATATCTAGAGCATTTAGCCTAGTAAATCATTTTGATAACGAGAAGACAAATTTTATTTGTTTAAAATATTGACATAATGAATAATTTGGATGACACGCCTATACCAGATCCTGGTTCCAGTGGTGATAAGCAGGAGAGCAAACATTCTAGCGCTTTAAAGAAAACGAGTCGTTATAGAAGCCGTTCCCTATCTGCCAGTTCGACAGATTCGTTCAGCTCTCAGTCGTACACGGGCAGTAGTTCCGATGATGGTGACGAACTGCCGCCACGTGAGAAAGTCCAAAAGAACACCAAAGGCAATTCAGATTTTTGCGTGCGCAACGTCGCTGCCCAGCACACGTTTGGTCGCAGGGAAATCGAAATTGCCGAACAGGAAATGCCCGGCATAATGGCTTTGCGGAAGCGTGCGGCTGAGGATAAACCGCTGAAGGATGCAAAAATCGTGGGCTGCACTCATATCAATGCACAAACAGCTGTGCTCATCGAAACACTTGTGCAGTTGGGGGCCAGAGTACGTTGGGCTGCTTGCAATATCTACTCGACACAAGTGAGTTTTATTGTCTTTCGTTTTTAACATTAAATGAATTTTATTAAATTTTAGTCATTTTAGTGGGAAACCATATGAGTGTGGATTTCACAATAAGACACAAATAAGTAAGGTGGTTTATTGTTAAAGCAAATAATTGGGAAAAATAATTATTTATTGGATAAATAATGCAAAATAGTTTATGAAAAGGGAAAGTAATAATTTGTGCCGCTTTTGGTTAGTAAATCTTGGGTAACTCCTTCAATTGAGATACACGTTTAGTGAAATTTTCATTTTTAGTCAGTAAATCTTGAGCGAAATATATCTTGTTGTTATTATTATTATTGTATCCTATAGGAATCTGCTGTTGTCCCTTTACGGTTGAACATTTTTGTTAGCCTTGTTGAACGGCACTTGATCGTCAAAATTGACTTACTTACTTTGCTTAGTTGGCCATTATAGACGTGAGTCGTCTTTGGGCGCGTCGAGTAGTCTTCGCCAGACAGCCCGTTTAGTAGTTGCTTGCTGCCGCCAGTTTGTAGTACCGAGCGGAATATAAAGTATCAATACTCATATGCACTTATATGAGTAGCAAACACAAAGGACGTCATATGAGATAGGATCGATAGTTTTAGGTATTCAGCTATCCCCAGCGATAAATTGAATACGATTTTTTTAAACAATTATACAATTATAGTTAAACTTCGATAACTCGAATTTCTATAACTCGAACCAAAAACAGTGCACCAAGGTTTTAGAGAGCAAATTACATACAATTGTTCTTCTATAACTTGAACTTCTCTATAATTCGAATAAAAGTATTGTCACGTGCCAATAGAAATATGGGAAAGTGCATTCTATAAATCGAATTTTTGTTTTAAGTATATATGTATTTTGCTGTTAGGGAAAGTCCCTTTTTCCAAACCAAATGTTTAATTTTTTCTGTTTGTTGTTGCTTCTTTGTGCAAATGCCAGTCGATGCCAGCGTGGTTTAAACTAAATAAAATAAATTCCAATGCTACTCTTAACGATTATATTGAGCTTGACAATGAAATTTGCATATCAAGCTTTCCTACAGATGATGATATAGAGCACTATAGCTCTAAATTACTGGATCCCATTTTAAGCACAACGGAAAGTGATGATGAGGGTTCAGTGGATGTAATTGTTCATCAGCCTTCTAAGAAAGAAGTAGAAGACTCATTCAATATTTTGAATTCATATTTGCAAACGAATGACAGTACAACTGATGATCACTATAAGAGTATGAATAAAGTGGAATCTCTTTTTATTGAAAATAAGAAAAAAATTAAAGTCCCAAACCCTAGGACTTTAATTTCAGTACTGTTTAATTTCAGTATTGTAATTTTAGTTTCTTTCAAAAATAAAAAAAAAATATAAAAATATTCTTTAACTCGAAGTCTCCATAAATCGAACCTTTTCTTTGCAAAATTGGACTTCAAGTTATGGAAGTTTGAATGTATTAATAAATTACTTGGTAAAGAGTTTTTTCGAAAAGTAGTGAACTACAACAACAAAAATTCATTTTTATATTATTTTAATTAATTGAATTTTTGGCTGACCATACAGCTTTACTTGATGATTTTTTAAGAAATATTTTTGCCATGAACTCTTTAATTGTTTTTAAAAATATATCACAGCAAAAGTTATAGTTTGTTATGTTTCATGGTGTCTTCTAGTCATTGAAAAATATTAAATGATAATGTTTGAACCAGTAAATGACGTAGTGTCAATCCTACAATGCACAGTTAAGTGTATAAATGATATTAAAATGAAATTTATTTAAATTTAGATTTAATGGCTTTTTCGATTAGTAAATCTGCATTCAATTTAGTTTACTCTCGATCTATCAATCTTTTGTTGCCAAATTGAAAATTTTTAGTGTAATCTAACATTTCTGTAGTTGTGTTATTGAACGTATAATATTTCATAAATACATATGTCGAATCATATCACATTTTATTGTCAAATTATTTAAAACAGCTGTTAATATCAGAGTAATCTTGCTACTCAGGCAGAGTATCTAGAGTGTTATAAACTAATTTTGAGTGTTTTGCATAAATTTTAAGTGTTATATATAACGCTCGAGACTTAACAATCGAAAATGGCATAAGAGAATTTTTAGATTAATATATCGAACATTAAAGCATTACTTAGCTTAAGCGTAGATTGATAAATATACCTTAAGACTATTAATACAGTTTTAGATTTCCTTTGAGTAGTCATCAAGTGAGGTGTTCAGTTGTGATTTGATTTCACTTTGAATAGAAGTACCAGTGCAGTGGATAGTAACTTATATCCAACAATACTCAATGCTTCTTTTATGAAGAAGAATAAAATACTTTTGAAGTTTCATATCCAACAATGATGAAATTTTCTATTATGAGGGTGTATATCTGTGCATTTAAGTGGGTAGAAGTGACAGTCTACTGCACCAAAACCCACAAGAGTTTAAAAAAGTTTTTTTTTTTTTTCAATTTTTAAATAACATAAGTATGTAAAAGTACTTATAAGTATAAGTATTGATGCTTTCAGAGTATTCACGAGATGGTATCAATACTTTCAGTTTTACAAACAAAAATGGTTTGGGGTTTTATAATATATCTTTTCAATCAATTTCCGTTAGTTTTTCTTATAAATGTAAACCAAAAGAACTCAGAGGTTGCGATGTATCATTGTCTCTTCTCATTATTCAAAAATAAAATGAAAATATAGATTGATAGATGATAGATGTTTGTTTTTCTTACAAAGAAATAAGAGTTTATAAAATTTCTTACTGTCAGTAAGAAATAATAGTTTATAAAGTATTATGATAATAATAATAATAAAATTTTAAAGGCCCACATTTGATTTCGGTTCCAATGACTTCAAACATAATTAACATAATTGTTATAAATGAAAACTTCTAATTCATATACTAAAGTATTTGAATTAAAGACTGAAAATGTTCTTATTATTAACGGACTGACTAAATTTGTTGCTGATATAGTCCGTCACACAAATATGTATTCTTCAATGAGTTGACTGAATTCCACTCTGCAATCCGCTTTTATTATAGATATCTGGGTAACTGACAGTACAAAAACTGAGGCTAATATCTTTGAGATTGTATCTTTTTTGTCTAATATAAAATCCTAAACTGGTGCCATTAAGAACTAATTGTCTTTTTGAAGTAGTGCCTTTTAGAACTAATTGTGTATATAGACATACCGTATTTGGAATGAAGCAATATATATTTCATTATTAGTGAAAAACTTCTATAAGATTTATATTAGTTTTGTTGAAAGTACATAGAATAAAACATTTTTAAAATAATATCTGAATGAGTATCGCAAGAGGATAGAAATATATTTGTATGTATCTATGTATATCTCTGTTTAAATGCATTGGGCGGTGCCCGAGTCATGCATAACTAAATTATTTAAACTGAAATCAGTTGTCAGTTCAGTCATATTTTTATCTATTCCAACTAACAAAATAATAATCAACATTTTTAGAGTTTACAGAAAGGTGTAGTATTAGCGTTAAAAAAATAATTATTATTAGAATTTTTTAATACCAGTAGAAATCGCTGTTTTGATTTTTTTATTATTTATTATTTTATATCGAATTTATTGCTCAACTTGGTTTTTGTTTAAATGATTTACTACAGCGACGGTTTTAAGACCCGTCCAATGTCATCATGTGATTTATGATTAAGTCTCGAATGCTTTACTCTATTTTAAATTATTGTTTATACACGATTTATATATCGATTTCGAAATCTTTAGGTGTACGTGTGCGTTTATTCTTATCAATATAACATTTTTATTCAAATTATTTATATTATTACTAACTGACGTCAGTGTGAGCGTCCGCAGTTATTAAATTAAATGAGACATAAACCAAAAGTAATTCTGGCAGTAGCAACAAGTCTTACTTGTTGAATTTGATAATTAACACTAATTAGTCGATAGCATGTATTTGGTGTGACACGGTAACATCTTCGAAAAATAATAGATTACAGACGTCTGAAAAAGACGTTTTCAATTATGAAAAGTATGCTAAACTCATAAATAGAAAGTAGAGTAAGTGATTACTGTGGTAGTCATCCAAGTTGACTAAGAGTCTACTAACTTCTTAATTAAAATGAATAATACAACACCTATCTGCTATTTTTGCAGACAATTGTTTCTTATGTTAACGTAAATATAGTAATTTTGAACCCATCACAATGCCACTTGATTGACAGCTCACTTGTTTTTTCCAGTTAAAGTTTAGTCGTTCAAATAATAAATATAATTTTAATATGCAGACAAGTTAAAAATGAAAATGATAATTTAAGTAACTATAAATTGCAAAGCTATGTTACGATTGATTAAAAAATCAATCAAGTTATGTTAGAAACCTGTCAGAATGGACTATATTTGAAACATTGAACATTTTATACAGATGTGTTCTATAGAATTTCTTCAGAAAATATTTTGCCGTTTTTAACGTAGCTAACAGCACTTATATATCAGCTAACAGCACTTATAAGCCAGGTAACAGCACTTATATGCCAGCCAACAGTACTTATATACTAGTTAACAGCATTTACATGCCTGAAAAAGAAAGTTTTTAGACTGTCAATGATGATTTCAATTAATAATATGTTCCGGTATGTGTTAGGTATACTATATTTAAAACTTTTGAATTCTCTTGGCCAATGAAGGTCATGCTTAAACACCTATAGGTCCAGAATTTTTGGTGTTAGCTCTATAACATTTCATCATTGATTCAATGCTTTGTTTAGTTTTTGCACAAAGTAAGTTGGTAACGGAAAGCCTTTGAAAGATTCTGACAATAAGCTGACGAAATTTCTCATACAATTAAAGAGGAAGGACCTCAGATTAATGGTACCAATCTGTGTTGTGTCCTGATCATTATAGGGTACATAATAAGCAACTTGCGATGTAACGGAAAGATTTGCAGAAGCATCCGACAATCAACGATTTCTTATGCATTTAAAAGAAAGTACCTTATAGTCATAAAGATGTAGGTTGGCACCATATAGTCAATATGAGTATTATAAATAATCCAAT